GATGGGAGATAATGGGATACCCCTTGGCACAACCATGAAGAATTACCAGAGACCATAGTGGTATTCTCACTTGAGACATCTTGTTTAAAATTTTTCCAGGTATGCATAACTTCCAGATCGTGTTGTCATGTCCCTTGGCTATCCCAGTTACCGTTTGGAAGATAGACATGAATGTCAATTTGTTTTAAATAGGCTCAGCCCTCATGAGTCATGGTTGTGTTGCTCCTTAGATTTAGCTTACTTTGATTTCTCCTTGGCTGCTTATGATCACTGGTCAGAGGCTCTAGTGGGTGCAAGATGCATCTGCCTTTTCCTGAACGCCCTGTTTTTTATTTTTGTTTTTTACTAGCTGAATGCAGACTGGATTGCTCTAATTGTTAAGTAACATACTGTCACATCTTATATAATCAGGGTAGTTCATAAATGTATTTGGTTTTGATTGTATTTGGTTTTGATCCATCCAAACCTTCTTGTGACACTAAGGCAATGCAGAATTCCAAGCTTGGCCTCGTATGTTCTCAACTTAGCATAGCTGAGAAATTTTGGCTACTATTTACTTTCCATATTGCCCCCATATGGCAAAAGAACGGAGGCTAAAAAAACCTTTATCTTGCTGATTACAAATTGAAAAATGTTATGCTACCCTATGCAATAATCCCATCTTGCGGATGAATGATTTGGTGCTTTTGGTTTCTTTCTCCTGTCTCCTGATTTACTCTTTTGTTTTCTGACTGCTAATTGTAATGTTTTTTTGAAACTGTAATATGGGGAAATGTTAATTAGAAAAATAGACTGAACTTTGATTTATGTAAAGCTTAACTTGCAAACAACTTTGGCCAAATGACCAACTACTAGAGGGGAAAGAGGAAAAAACCCCCCCCCGCCCCCCCCCCCATATATTCTTAATTATAATAAATGAGTTGCTATTATCATTATGAACATAACCTATTGGCCATACAGCTAAATATTTACTTGATGGTTTATTCAGTACAGCTTGCTTTCTTTTTAAACTACACATTTCTTCATTATATCCTTTCTTCAACTGCCTGGTCTTCTTAAACTCATAATCTCTGTATCTGTGATGTTAAAGAAACCAGAGTGTGAGGTCAAAATTTCCATTACATAGCTAGAGCGGAATTTCAAGGAACAATGCCAAAATCACTTAAAAAATAAATTTACAGGAAAGATGACTCATCAATCAACAATTGCAGTTCTAGAAAATAGAAGGAGTTGTATATGTTCTGGGTACAGAGAGAGACAAAATGCACCCGGCCTGACAGACAGGGGTAAAATAGGGTGACATTTTTTAATGCTTCCAGGGATTTTTTTATTTTTTTTTTACCTTGGCCTCTTGTTTCTTTCTTACCCTAAGTTGCACACAACTTAATGTTGCAGGAGTCGTACCTTGTGAGAACTACAACTACCTAGCAAAAAGAAAAAGGACTGCTGGCTCGTTGTGGCTTGTGTTAATCAACCAAGCGGCTGAAAGACAAGGGGAATGGTCCCCTTCTGCACTTATAGGCGCTGTGTTGCCCATTTTGTGTCTTTAACATCTCTTGTAACTATTAAGAAATTAAGAATGAGGCCACCTAAGAAAGCAAAATACAGCATTGTATGCTACATGGAGATGATAGACTTCCGCTTAAACACTTCTGCTTTAGTATTTGGTAACATGAGTAAGACAAAGACGTGGTAAAGGGCAGTGTCCTTCCTTCTAAAATATTGAATAAACAACCACCCAGGAGCGAAAGTCCTTCTGAGAGCAAAGTCTCTTGAGCTGCCACACAGTCCCCAGGGAGACTGGGGCAGGCCTGCTGCTTGTGATGTTGCATGCTATGCCCGTTCTTTAGCTGGGAAGGCAATTTGCTGCTGCTTCTTGTCTTTTCTACTCCTTGAGCTGCACCATCTTTTTGCTTAACCTTACACGTGAAGAAAGTAGAGGGTGCTGGCAGCTTAAGCGGATGATGCAGGAGGTGAATCTGCCAGTTCCTGTGTTCTCTTTGTAACCCTGCTCACTTTCTCATCTGAACAGGAGGAAGGGAAGGGGAGGAATGGTGTAACAAGCTGCTGCACTCCAGATGGCAGACTGGATAATCCGTAAACATGGATATCTCTTCCTGTTACTAGCTTAAAGTTTTCTTTCTCATTAGGCGCTTCAGCAGACTAGCTAACAACTGAAGGTGTGACTTCTGATTGCAGCACTCTTTGGCCTCAGAATGAATTTAGCCGAGACTGCAATTATTTGTAAATAGGAAGCATGCTCTTGTAGTCTCCAAACTTTATGCTATTGTTATGTATTTCCTTTTACTGTCCCGTTCTTTCCTGGAATAATAGTGCACAAACAATGGAACATGAGCAATGTTGCAGTACATGCTTTTTGAAAGGAGATGTGGCCCGCAAACAAGCTCTGTCTGCCTTATGTGTTTTACCGTATTTAAGCTTGATCCTTCGACGTCGTCTTCTGACAATGTTAGAGCATTTTTTTTTTTAATCCTGCCTCACTTATTGAAGGAGTTAATGTTTACAAGTACATGTGGCTCTGCTTATTACTTCTAGAGCCTAGACCTAGGAGAGGCATGGGGAGACTCTCTCCATCTGTACTGAAAGTGGACGGGCTTTCCTTTCACTTGCGTTACAAGCAAAGGGTTTGATCTCTCAAACTTGATTAACTTTGGAAATATTTCTGAGAAACTGCTGAGAATCTTCTGGGTAGAGGTCCTGTCTTCAAACGATTCCCTGGTTCCTGCTACTCCTATCAGGCATATCTACAACGTGAGGCTGTGGGACTGAGCGAGAGGAGGTCTCTGCCATGTGCTGATTCCAGAGCCTGCCCCTTCCCTTGGGAAGGGTTCAGCGTGCAGCCGGAGAGAGCATGTTTTAGGTGACTATACATGGGGACAACAGTGGTGTGACTGAACAGTTCTCTAGAGGGCTAAACTGGAGGCTTGAAGCAAGCATCACATTCCTTCACCCTCTTCCCTTTTGCTTCGTTTTTGTCCCTATGCAGCTGAGATTTCTTTTTTCATATAAGTGCTGGTGCAGAGAACTGTGTCATGGGTGACGGATTTGAATGATGACCACAATATTTTGCAGCTTTCAGAAGGCCCATCTCCAGCCTTAGCCTTGCTTTCAAGAGTGGCAATAAAATAAGACCAAAACTATTCCTCCAACTCTTCCTCAAGAAGTATTCTCTTTTATGCTTAAAGGACAAGGAGATAAGGATATGGTTGGAGAACCTAGCAACTATCTGCCTGTTTTATTTTCCTTAAGATGCTGTGATACCATGGCAATGAGTTATTAATAAAACTCCAGGCAGAAGGAGAGAGCTTCTAACTAACAGAATAACCATATATGAACAAATGTCATGATTTGGTCGGTAGGGTGAAGAGCAGTTGAGCATTTAGCATAAAAATACAGCTTAATCTGCAAATAAATCAGAGCAGACTTTTTGCTTAAATGTTGAAATACCACCAATGTTTATAGAAGAGCAAAAAATTATAAAGCACAGTGTGCATTATTTGACATGTATGAGCATTCTAAATTATGCTGAGTTTTTTTTCTGGTTTGTTGCATTTCTGAGTATATTATGAGCTATTATAAGCACAGTAAGAGAGTTTCCCATGCAGCATTGTGCTTATTTCAGTGGCACTGAATCAAAATTCTGCAAGCCTTTATCCTAATGTGCAGTCATCTCTGTAAGCGTGATGCTACCTCCCTCTTCTATTATGGAACTTGAATTAAAAAATCTGGAACATAGCTTTATTTAGAGGTAGGTGGTGCAAGGTGCAGGTGGCGCAATGTTGTTATGCTGCCCTGCCCTTATAATGAATACTGACTGTAGTCCAATTTTAGTGTGCTGCGCTCATCGGCAGTCAGTTTACAATGTGCTCAAGCTACTGTTAAAGGTTTGGGGTGATGTCTTAAGTGGCAGTGTTACAGAACTTCCTGAAGTTCTGTCTTCCCAGCCTCACAGATGCTAGTGGAAAAAAGCAGGCAGCTCCACATTGTGTTGAGAGCTGGCCAGGTAATTTCTTTTTAATATTTGACTGACCAATTTCATATTAAACTCTTACTTACTGAAAAATAAGCCCTTAAATATCTACAAATCCATTGACTTCAGAGATGGTTTGTTTCCCCTTTTGTGACTTTGACCAGGGATTGAGCTGTGGTAATGAGACCCACGAGGAAAATGGATAAGACAAATCATGATGTGTGTTTGTGTTGTTTGTAACACACAGTTACTTAGAAAATGCTGTATCCCAATACACATTGGGCTTATTGTAAAACACCAGCAGGGATTGTCAGTGACAGAGTATTTTCTCTGAATAAGGTAAAACCCTGCTTAGGAGTCTGTAGCTAAAGTGTCAAGGGTATTTCCAGGCACTTAGCCTAACTAGAATGGGGACAGCAGCGAGGTGGTACTGGGCTTCTCAGTGCAATTGAAATTCCATGGGATTTAGGTACGTAAATCTTGTGCGAAATTCTGAAAACATTGTGTTACACACACAGCTTTTTAACCCTTTCCTTTCCTTTATTTTCCTTTATGATAATCCATGTCCTTTAAATGGAATGCATTTTATGCCCTAATCTGAAAATTGCCTTTAAAATATTTAATGACCAAACAGGTTAAAGAACTGAGCACAAAATTTACATAGCCTCCTAAGTGAGGTATTTATAGAATATAGGTGAAATGTTGAGAATTGCTGTGACATTTTTATTCCGTATGGGTATGTGAGTGATTTTTGTAAAACATTCCAGCAGGGTGAAACACCGAACAGTCTTTCTGCTGTGTGCATGAGGTACTGAATTTTTTTTTTTCCTGCCAAGAATGCTTCTTCTGAATGGAAATTATTTTATTTTTTTTACTGTCTTTTTTTTTTTAAACAAACAAACAA